CCCAAATTCAAATAAAATCATATATAGACATTTATTTTGATTTTCGATACCAATCATCCGGAATATTCCATTTTTTTTGCAAACGCACTTGCGTCCTCAACCCTTTTTTTTCTCATCATCGTATTATAAATTAACCCTATCGATTTTTCTGTCGGTAATGCATTAAATTGTTCTTTCATTTGTTCTATATATCTACAACATTCTTGGGTTTTTCCTTTTTCACATAGACAATAAATAATATTTTGAAACGTCGTCGCGTTAGGTGTGATATTAAATTCTGGATGTAACATTTCATTATAATATTGATTTGCTTGTTCTAAATTCAAATGTGAACATGAATATCTTATAAGTGTATTGAAAACATAAATGTCGGGTTTAATTTTCAAACGTAGCATATGTCGATAACATTCATCCATTGCTTTCAAGTCTCCTTTATATCCATATGCTTTCATCATACATTTAAATGCTCGAACAATTGCCCATTTATGTTGTTCTACTTCTAAATAATCTTCCGTAGTAAATCCAAACTTGAGAATTTGTTGTGCTGATTTTATATCTCGTGCCTCAAAATATAAACGTACTAATAATGAATATGTTGTCAAATTAGGTTTTAATCCACTTTTCTTAAGATTTGTTATAATATAATTCACTTTTTTCAATAAAGGTTCCCTACGTCGCAAACATGAGGATAAATATGAATTAATCATATATATTGATGGCTGAAATCCTTTTTCAATTGATTCGATCCACAAGCTATCACAAACCTCTCGTAATCGTATTCTGCTAAAAACATTCATCATATGTGAATAATCTATTACACTTGGATCATGCCCAACTTCTTTCATTTGTTCAAAAATATAAAAAAGTTTCCTTTTTAAAAGTGTTGTTTCTGTCTTGGTAAATGGATATTTACCATCAACATCAAATAATTTTAATACAATAGAATGTTGTTGAGGTGATAAAAGATGAAGCTTTCGTGCTTGTTGAAGATCTTGGTATATTTTCCAGGTGGTATTCTGATCACGTGCTCTGACCGCATGGAGAAGTGGCAAAATTTCTTTAGTTGTAGAAATTTCTAAAGGAATATCTATTCGTTCTTCCTTAGGTGGTTCGTATAAAAATGTTTGATATGCAATAGAATTTTTATATCTTTGAGATGTAGTTGTTAGACAAATCTTAAAAATTTCTCGCCGATGAAATGTGAAACTTAGTTTCATCTTTAATCAAATTAGATCCTTTAACGAAGAAATGAAACTGATGATTTATTAAAGTTTGAAAAATAATCTCGATCTAGATCTCAAAATTTCAATTTGTTTATGGAACGTGTTACCTCTATCGCTATGTGCCGTCCAAATAAGAGCATGGTGTACAACCCAAAATTTGGTAATGATCATCTCAATTGAATAAAAAAATTTTATACGCTTTAAAGTACTTTTGATACTCGTGATTATTTGAAGCCTTACCAATCAAATTTATTAAAAAACAAGCCTGCAAAGCTCAACCCAGGCGGCCTAGCAAATAACACCAAGAAATAAAACACATTATATAGAATGAAATTTGCATCAAAACTCTTCATCGACGTACGTTCTGTATGACTCTTCTTCATTCCAGCATGAATTTCCGATCAATCGAACATCAGCTTCTAAAAACGCATGGCGGATGTCTTTCAACTCTGTATCAAGTGCAGAAGAAGTGCCTTTGTACAATTGTAAAAAAAAATTATTCCGCTTTTAGGATTTGCAATGCGCCAAATATATCACGTGAGTGTGACTATTTTTGCTATAAATAGCTAGATACTGATTGTAATATCATTTAACGCTCTGAGTACATGGCTCATTCTAATGTGGGTGAACCAAAGAGTTTGGTAGATAAAATCTATGACGACGTGAAAGACGACATGGACGACAATGTGAACGACTCCGTGGACGACATGGACGACTCCGTGGACAGCGACGTGGATGATAACGATACGAACACTTCTGCGCTTCCAAATGGAGTGTATAATGATATGAATCAATTTATGCTTTTAAATGACGAAGAGGATGATGATGATATGGCTTTACGTCCCGAGCAATTAGAAAAGCTTGGTAGGTGAATTGTTAACTCTCAATA